AAAAATGGTTTTTGAAGTTGGCGTTTGGTATATATGAACAGAAGCATGCACCAAAACTTATCAGTCATGTCTTATCTTTTATTATGTCCTATCAATTTTATTTGGAAATAAATCCCACCATGTCAAAGAGAACATTCCACTGCTATACATCAGTACCTTTAAAGTCCAATTTTGTTAGATTTTCTTTGTTTCAAGAAAAAATACTAGCTGAATTTGCACAAGCTAGTCAGAAAAGAAATCCTAATTAAATTCAGACATCTGTCAATACTGCATTGTTCTCAATGAGACACCCACTTCATTCCCATCTGCATTTGGTGCAACGTATAATATGCATCAGTTTGCCAAACTGCTTTTTTTTGGAGGGGGGGGGACCTAAGAGTATTCTTGTTAACACATACTCCCAAGGCTTTACAAGAACATAGGGAAGGTAGGGAGAAACTCCACAAAAATAAAGCAATACCCAGAGACACCCAAAGCAGTCACTGAAAACTCAGTGTCTATTTTTCAGCTGCATAATTCATCAATATATGCTTGTCCCAAAGTAAATGTGTATCTACCATTTCAAAGGCTAAGAATTTGTTCTGTGCCTATTAAAATACAAGTTTAAAATTAAACTCAAACCACCTCTACCCAAACCAAGTACGCTGGCCTAAGCTCCAGCCCCTTTTGGCCTGCAACAGCTGGTGCTGCCCCAAATATGGAAATGCTGTTCAGCCCTGGCTATATCTAAGTTTTTTATCTTTAAGAACATAAGAAAAGCCATGCTGGATCAGACCAGTGGTCCACCCAATCCAACACTCCATTGACACAGTGGCAAACCAACCATGCACAAGGCCCCTCTAGCTGGATGAGTACAAGAGTCCTGCCTGCCCAAGTTCCTCAGCATCTGGGGAATGCAGGCACACCTCCTCTGACAACAGAGGTAACACATAGCTAACAAAGCTAGTAACCATGGATAGCATTCTTCTCCATCAATCCAATCCCTTTGTAAAATGTCCAAACTGGTGGCCACCACAACCTCCTGTGGCAGTGAATTCCACAGTTTAAGTGCTGTGAGAAAAAGTAGTTACTTTTATCTGACCTGAATCTCTCACCAGGCAGCTCCATGGGATAACCCAAAGGTTCTAGTGCTATGGAAATGGGAGAAAAATGACATCCTCTCCACTTTCTCCACACCTTGCATAATTTTAAAAGTTCCCTCTTGAAAGTTATTTTCAACACCTTTCCTAATTATGCTTAACATGGAGTCTGTCTTTTTCACAGCAGCTGCACAGGGGGTTGACATTTTCACCAGGCTGTCCATCACAACCCTATGATCACTCTCTTCATCAGTCACTACTAGTTCAAATGTCATTAGCGTATACTTGAAGCTGAGATTTTTTTTCTGTCCCAACATGTATTACCTTATGCTTCCTTACATTGAATCATATTTGCCACTTTCATGCCTATTCTCCCAGTTTGGAAATACCCTTTGGAGAAGCCCTTTTGGTTTTAACCATCCCAAATTATATGTTATCATCAGCAAACTAGGCCATTTCAATGCTTACTCCAAATTCCAAATCATTTATGAATATGTTGAAAAAAATGGTCCTAATACAGAACCCTGTGTGACCCTACTGGTTTTCTCCTGTGGGAGAAATCACCATTTATTCCCACTCTCTGCTTTCTGCATTTTAACCAGTTAAAAATCCACCCTTTATTCCATGACTGCTAAGTTTGCTCAGGAGTCTTTGATGAGGACTTTGTCAAAAGCCCTTTGGAATTCAGGTAAACAATCTCTACTGAATCACCAGTCCACATGTTTATTGACACTCTCAAATAATTCTAATAGCTTAGCAAGACAAGACTTCCCTTGGCAGAAGCCATATTCACCATTTTAACAGAACTTGTCTCTATATGTACTTACTCATTTTGTCTTTAATAAAACTTTCAACTAATTTACCCAAGCAGATATCAGGTTAACAGGAATGCAAACCCCTTGATTATTTTTAAAAAATTGGTGCTACGTTGGCTATTCTCCAGAGGCTGGTATAGAGGCTGATCTTAGGAACATATTATATATTTTTTGTAAATAAGGTCAGCAATTTCATATTTGAAATCTTTAAGAATTCTATGATGGATGCCACTTGGGCCCAGTAATTTATTAACTTTCAGTTTGTCAATAAGGGTTAGAAGCTCATCTTTTGTCACTACTATCTGCTTAGTTATCCCAAACATTATCTAGTAATGTCTTCTACACGTTTATTGTGCATTGTATGAATGAGGAATATCAGTCGAAAACCTACCTTTTCCCACTGTCAACTGCACTTTCTATTCAATATATATAGCACAACTAACTCTCATGCCAAAGAAAACACAATCCCTGACCACTGCAAACATATGTTTTATCCTGCAGGATTTTCCCCCCTTAACAGGATATAAGGCTTCAGTGAAAGTATGCAAAAAAGGCTTCTTTATGCTGCCCTACAAGTAGGAGTTGGCCACTGCACAGGTGTTGAGCACTGTGAAAATAGTTTGTAGAGCAGGAGCAAGTCAGGGAACTTGGCTTGAGATGGCTAAAAAAACCAAAGAAACACTTTCTTCCCCTACCCATTTTAGCTGCAGGCAGGGAACTAAGAGAGAATAGTCAGATGCAAAGGACTATGTTATGTAACTCAGAGATTTGAAACTACCTGGTTGTAATCAAATTCTGAGTGCCAAAGAATATGATTTCCTTACTTGATGAAACTGAAAAATTGTGATCAAGTTTTTGGAAGAGAAGCATGGATAATCTGGGTAGGAATTCAGTTTGTGGGCATTTGTAATATTTCAAAAGTAAATTAGCTAAATTGAATTGTTCAGGTTCAAGCTTCACTTTTGTTTTGTACACAAGTCTCAAGCAACTCACCTTTGCCTTTCGTAAAGCATATCCTGTGTTGCAGAAGCAAATGCTGGATCAAAGGAATGTTCTGATACTTAGACCTCAGACTTGCATCAATGCTGCATTCTATTTGGGGTCTCAGCCAAGTCACTTGCTTCCATCTACTCTACGATTCTGTTTTTAAACCACAGGAAGACCAGATACCTCTTGGAACACCACAACAGGGCATGAGGATAACAGATTTCTTATCTGGTTTCAAATGTATAAATCAGGTCTGGACAATACAGTGGCACATTGTGGATTATATAATCCTTAAGAAACTGCAGGTACTAGGTTGCATAACCAACCTGCACTCATGAATGCAGCAAGAGTGGATTATGAGAGAGTTCAACAAAACACACTCTAAAGCAGACCACAAATTATGTGTGGGTTGTTTAACTGTTGCATATTCCATATTCACCGGGTTCACACAGCAGGAGAACTCCTTAGTGGGGAATGCATATTGAAACTGGTAGCCTTATGCACCACAGCTTCACCACAACTTAAATAATCAAAGTAGGTTGCCATGCCACACAAACAGTTCCATACAGTCTTTACACATAGAAGTTCCATTTATCCATTGATCAAAGCAGATCAAAGGATTCTCATTGGTTAAACCCATAGGAGCTCTGGTGGGTGGAAGGAAGGGTATACATGGCAGAGGTTGTGTGTCAGGATTGGTAGAACATGCAGCATTCCTCCTGTTTGAGACTTTTGTCTAAACTGTGCACACTTTTAAATCTCTCTTTTCAGGAAACCAATTGAAGGGGCACCTGTGCTATGGATTGCACAATGAAAAATCATGGATCCCATACGTTGCAGCACCACCATAGTGCAAAACCAGGATTCCCTGGATTTTCGCATGAGATGCCAAGCCAGTGTGGTGTAGTGGGTAGAATACTGGACAGGACTTGGGAGAGCTGGGTTCTAGTTCCCAATCAGCCATGAAGTTCACTGGTTGAGTTTGGGCTAGTCACTGATTCTCAATCTAACCTATCTCATAGGATTGTTGTGAAAATAAAATTGAGATGAGGAAGATTATGTAAACCACCTTAGCCTTCTTGTAGGAAAAGGGGCAAAACATAAATGTAATAAATAAGCAACACAAATTACAACTGTGTTCATGAATTGCTTTGTAACAATCATAGATCCAAGGATCCATACTGCTGCCACAGCACAGAAAAACCAAATCTGAGGCAAAGATCTGCTTCTTTATGATGGCACTGTAGAGCTGAAACTTAGTACTAAAGCATCAGCAATCTTTTTATACAGGATTCTCCCCAAACCACTGTCAGTACACAGCTCATTTCTGTGTAATGCTCCATTACATCACAGATGCAAGGCTTCATGGTGCAGCTATAGAACAAAGACATGATTCCTAAGTAGAGGTTCCCTGTTTTTTTACATGGGATACTAACAATGCTACCACTAAATCATACTCGTGTCGCAGAATGGACCATAAAAACCACAGAACCAGAGCTTCACAGCACTGAAAAAAATTGGTTCCTCTAGTGAATAGTGTTGCTGTAGCACACAGCCATGAATGCTCTGGATTTTTTCAGGGGATGCTGTCAAAATCACTGCCTTAAAACAGATCAACATCTGTGCCTCTTAACTGCACACTAAAAGTCACAGAGGTGGCGCTTCAGAGTATATGGGTGGCAGCACATGCAGCACTTCCACTTCTTAAAATTCTTTTTAAAACATTATCAGCCACTACTCCACTCTTGCCTTCGCCAACATGCAGCCCTCCAGGAAGCACATCATACCCGGGTGGGGAAAGCTGCTCAATTCAATCTCTGCACTCTTTCAAATGAATGACAAGATCGCCTTTGAGGAAGGGAAGGGAAGGCAGCTCTCTGAAGTTCCATAGGAAGCGTGGAATCTGGAGCTTCAGAGAGCTCCCACTGTCTCCAACTGCATCCTGGCCATTCGCTTTAGCCCACTTCCACGCTTTCCATGGTTTCAGACTGAATCTCACGATTCCTCTTCTCTTGCACCACTTTCTCTGTCGCTCTCAAAACAGAGAGGCCGTTTTAGAGGCAACTGGGAGCACGGCTCCTTCCCGTGCTTTCCACCTTCCTTGCCTCTTCTCCCTCACCTGTCCTGAACATCAGCTGCTTGTCGTTGGGGTCTCCGAACTCCTTAAGCATGGACTTGAAGAGAATCCCGCCCGAGTTCTGGACGCCGAACACGGTTCCGTTGCACCACATGGAGGCCAGTATGACTATCCACCCCCAGCCGCCCTCGGGGGGCTCGAACGCCGCCGCGTCGTCCTGCTGGCTCGGGGGCGGCGGCAGTTCCCCCTTCTCCATCTTCTTCTCCTCGTCCTCCTTGGGAGGACTCCCCGCCCTCCCGCCCGCCGCCACCAAAGGAACTTCCCCGGCTGCCTCTGCCGAAGCAAGGGACGCCTCCTGCGGACACCATTCCCCACTCTCCTGCTTCGCCTCTCCGTCCACCGCCTCGCTCCCTTCGAGGAGGGGCGCCGTGGCGGCAGCGGCGGAGGCGTCCCCCGCTCCCAGCTCCTCACTGACGGGAGACATACTGGGCGGCAGCGGCGCCGCCGCCGAGAAGGCTGGCAAACGAGGCGGCCTCAGGAGAAGCGACCTCTCCTCCCTTCACTGCCTCCCTCGCACCGCCACCATCGCCCGAGGGCGGAACGGAAAACTCTGTCCGGCTGATCAAGGAGAAAGGGTTACTCTCGCGCGCGTGCGGCGACGTAATCTCCTCGGAAATATCAGATAGACGCCAAGGGAGCGGCAGCAGGAACCTGCTCCCGCGCTGTCTCGCACCGGCCCCCGAGGCTGGCAAGTCCGCCCGAGCCGCCTGCGGGTCCTTTTAAAGGCTCATTCTTCAGGGGCGGAGCCAACGGCAGGACGGCCCCCCCCCCCCCAATTCTGAGGCTCCCACTGGCTGCGGGGGTGAGTGAGTGAGTAAAACGCCGCCCACTCCTTGGGCCAGAAGAGGAGGGGGGATGGGAATGAATCTCTGCGCGCCGGTGGACGAGGAAACCGCTTTCGGGTGGGCACCGGTGATCAGGGAGTGCGGCGGGGGAGGGGAACGGAGCGCGTGCTCCGCGAGTCAAGAGTTAACGACCCCCGAAGGAGGAGGCTGGTGGCAGCAAATGGAGCGGCTTCCCTCCTCTTCGACGGGGAAGGGAACGCGGTGTCTTCTACACGTATTGTGCAAGCGAATCATATGTGTCTGCGCGCGCGCGCGTGCTCGCTCTCTCGCTCAAATATAAATATATATGCGCGCGCATAAATATCGCCCCCTCCACACAACCTCGGGATTCCGAGACTGCCAATGCAATAGGCTGGACAGGGGGTGTGCGTGTATGCTTGTGACGTCACTTCCCCCCCAACGACCATGACATAATGCATTGGCAGGGCTGCAGGGGGGGGAAGAGTTTGCCAAGGTACAGGACACAAGGGCATTCCTTTTTCCAGATCTTACTCAATACACATCTGTCTGGACTGATGCTTATTCCCAAAAGGAGAGGAGTAAACGATCTCCGTTGGAACATGGAGAAAGTTCATTGAGGACAAGTAGCACACCGAATGACAGCAGGGACAGATTCCCTCCTCGAAGCAACCTTTAAGTAACAAAGTCCAGGGGGGAGCTTTGCTTGTTAATGGCAAACATGCCACCACCTGATGGCTCTCTAAATGTAACAGATTTGCTCCTATACTCACTTATGTGTAAGCTCCATTAAACTCTTCAATACTTACTTCTGAACAGATGTATTCTTACACTGAATTGTATAAATAAACACAGAATCCTTATTTACACTAAACTCAAGCATAAAAAGGAGAAATAAAAACAATACATACTTTTATACTGATAGGCGCCACTGTGCTGTCCTAGCCAGGGGAAGAATCTGCTTACAGCTAAAAGGCTAGCTCAGGCTCGGTGAAGACTCAGGTATTTATGACTTATACTAAAATTCACAAACTAGAGCTCAGAAATAGAGCCATCCCAAGTTTTAAAGTCCAGGTTATCATTCCATTTTTAAACGCACACACAAATTCTTTCCAAACCACATCCCTTCCCAAATCATCTACCTTTTGTCAGTTGTCCCCTCCAATGACCCATTGACTATTGTCCTCTCCCCTGAATAGAATATCTCCACTCCCTGAAGGGGGAATTAACCTACATTCCCATTCATGGGGAAACTAAGTGCAACTACAGTCTCTCTTGGTTTTCAACCCAGGCCTCTAATCAGATCAGCTGCAGCAGAGTTCGGGTCAACCTAGCTAGAACTGTATAGGAGGCAGACTTATGAGAGACCCAGCTCTCTGAGCACACGGACCCCCAGTGACAAAGCATCAGTACACAAGCAAATCACGTTACTGTGTGAGTTCAGCAGGAGGGTGCAGAGGCCAGGACAATGAACCCTTTCCTCCTCTCTCATACTGTGTCAATGTATACTGTAAATTAACAGCTATAAGCAAATTCCCCACTTTAGTTTTCCAGACAAACAAACCTAATATCTGTTGAACAATAAACCAGTTATGAAGTTAGAAACTTGGCATAGGTATGAGGACTATCCAGTGTAGTGCATTGAATGCCACATGGATGATTATCTTTCAGCTTGACCGAAGTTATGGCTGTATACTTGATGTAATGAGCACCTGTCTCTCAGGGAACAAGTTTGTTCCCTTGAAGCCAAGGTTGCTGACTTGGAGAAGCTGAGAGGCAGATAGGATAGCAGGTGAGACCTTGAGGACTAAACAGCAGTATCCTGATGCCCAAAGCAGCGATGTAAACAGTGGGGTTCCACAGAAATCTCTGTTGGGAACAATACCTTTCAACTTACTCATAAATGATCTGAAATTAGGAGTGAGCAGTAATGTGGCCAAGTTTCCTGGTGACACTAAATTACTTAGGATGGTTAAAACCAAAAGAGATTGTGAAGAGCTCCAAAATGATCTCTCTAAACTGGGAAAATAGGCATCAAAATGGCAAATGGAGTTCACCCTAGGCAAGTGTAAAGTAATACACAGTGGGGCAAAATATCTCAAGGTGAGTGACCACGAAAAAGATTTAGGGGTTGTTGTGAACAGCTTGATGAAAATGTTGACCCAGCATGTACTTGCTGTGAAAAAGGCAACCTCCATGTTAGGCATAATTAGGGCAGACATTGAAGATAAAATTGCCAATATCATTCTGCCTTTATGCAAGTCTATGGTGCAACCACAGTTAGAATATTATGTACAGTTCTGGTCACTACACCTTTATTTAAAAAGGATATTGTAGAGTTGGGAAAAGTGTAGAAAAGGATCAGGTAAAATGATGAAAATTTCAGAATAACACCCCAATGAGGAAAGGTTATAACAACTGAAATGGTTTAGTTTAGAAAAAGGCAAGTAAAGGGAGACCTGAGAGAGGTGTAGAACATGGATAAGGAACCCTTTCTCTGTGTATGTTCTTCTGCTACAACAGTAATAGGAACGATTTGGGATCATCCCATGAAACTGATTGCTAGAAAATTCAGCATATAAAAATTCAGCAAGTAAAAATGCCTGTGCTCATAAGACATAGTTGAGATGGAATGTTTTTCCACATGATGTAGTTTTGGCTACTACTTTAGATGAATAAAGACTAGGCAAGAGGGGATTGCACAAATCCATGGAGTAGAAGGCTATCAATGGGTTTCTAGTACTGATGGCCACATGCTGCCTTCCAATCACAAATACTGGGTGTGCTCACAGAAACACGAAGCCATGGCACACAGTCACCACAAAACATGGTATCCTTGGGTTCAAACAGACACTTGGTTTGCATACATTCATGCTTAAGGCTGCTTCACAGGCAGATGCTGCTGGTTCTCAGAGTAGCATAAACACTCTGCTATTTCCAAGAATCATTCCAGAAAGTTCAGTGACCAGACTGGAGCTCCAGTAATAGCTCTCTCTGCCATCACTGTTGCTGGAGACAGCATGACACAATGACCAATGCCACTAAGATTCCAAAGCTGCAGCTGGGCATCAGGAAGGCATTGCAGGGACAGATAAAAAAGCATAGCAATGCAGCTGATCAGAGGGTGGCGGCCTCTGACACAGCAGTTGCTAGGCAGAACAGGATACTGGAAACCATAGGCAGCTCTTGCCACAAAACTCTACGATGGAAATATGGAAGATGCACAGATAGATGTCAACTTGATTCAGAGTGGCAAAGAAGTCACGGTAAAGTGCAGAAACCTTCCCACAAGCTGTTGTTTCTCCATGTGGTTTCATGGAAACCAAGCATACCACACTCCACCACGGATACTGGGTTCAGATATATTGACAAGCCATGTTCCTGCGATTTCCATCACAGGTTATCATTACATGTGAACCCGCCAACTATGTTTGGTGTACACAGGTTGTTGGGGAACTTGGACAGCAAGGTGCTTTTGAATTCATGTCCTGTTGTGGGAACCTGTGGACAGCTGGCTGGGAACTGTGTGAACAGAATGCTGCAGTAGATGAACCTTCAGTCTCATCCAACATGGCTCTTACGTTCTTAAGTTTCCCTAGACTAGATGGCATAATTAGTCCATAAAAGCTTAGCAGCAGCAGCCCATCTGTTCCAGTATATAGCGGTGAGAGCTATTGCCTATGTAAACAGCACCATGTTTGTGCCCAAAGGAGACAGATAACAAGCAGAAGGGGAGGGGAATGTGATATAGTGGCTGGAAACTGAACAGGAACCCTCCCTAAGAAATTAACCAAGCAGGAAAAGGAGGACTGTAGTGGAGTCCTTTTGCCAGCTATTGCATTTGCAATCTACCCAGATGCTAAGATCAAGAGCCAGGGAATGTCTCCAGTTGCATGGAGGGAGGCATGGTGGCCTTCTCAGTGGCAGCCCTCCAGTTATGGAACAAACTCCCTACCAAGGCCTGCTTGGTGCCAACTCTAATAGCTTTTTGGTACCAGGTTAAGACTGTCCTCTGTGACAGAGCATTTAATTAGTTTGTATATTATATTGAAGCAATATGTCAGCTGCTTCACAGGACTTGTGATTTAATTTGTGTAAGCTACTGTAGCTTTAACAATTTGATTTCAATTTGCATTTTCAATTCTGTATCACATTTTATTATGTTTTTATTGTTATCGTGTATTTTACTGCATTTTGTCTTCTGTTGTAAACTACCCAGAAGGCTCCTGGTATAGAAATACAACAATACATTAATTAAATAATTAAATGCAACTGTGTGCACAAATTATGTTCAATTAAGTGTATATTTTGTGCATGTCAGAACACATACCTAATATAAATCTACTGTGCTCAATGTATATAATTATAGTAATTATTATGCATTGCCTTTTTGTCTAAATGTGCCCTTAAGACAATTTAAAACCACATGATACATATCCAACAACTAATTAAAAGGAACCCACACACACATATAAACACCTGTGTTCTTGGAGCTGTGCAAAATATAAGATTATATAAATATGAGATAGTTGAGAGTTTTGTGTTACTAGAGGATCAGATAAGCTAAGACTGTTAGCTCAAGATTTATTTTATAGTAAAGCACCTCCGCTAAGTACAGATTTATCTTCCGTTGACAAAGTATCACTAGTTTCACCTGTGTATTGAATGTCCTTAATCAGTTAGCATTAAGAAAGGGTGGATAGAATCTTTTCTAAAGAAGGGTAATTTTCCTGCATTGATGGTTGATGGGAATGCTACAGAACTATGGATTAACAGATCTCTTGTCAGAATATCCCTATGCACTATAGACTACAGAAATGTAATGATAGAA